CCACAACTCTTCTGGTCTTCAGTCTTTGGTGTTTAATGTATCAAATTTCTTCAGATCTCTAAATTCAGGTGGGATATATTCAAGGTCATATTTTGGCTCTCGTGAGCTTGTTTTCATTCTCTTCAGCTGCACTTTTAATTTGCATGTTGTTAGGTGCCATCGAGTCAGTACCGACTCATAATGACCTTATGCACAGCAGAATGAAACATTGCCAGATCCTGGGCCAACCTCACTATTGTGCCATGCTTGAGACCGTTGATGCTGCCACTTGGCCAATCCATCTTGCTGGGAGTCTTCCTCTTTTTCTCTGATCCTCCTCCACTTTACCAAACATAATATCCATCTCTAGTGACTGATCCCTCCTGACAATATGTCCAAAGTATGAGAGACGAAATTTGGCCATCTTGGCCTCTAAGGAGCACTCTGGCTGCACTTCTTCAAAAACGGATCTATTGATTGTTTTGGTAGCCCATGGCACTTTCAAAATTCTCTTCCAACACCATAACTCAAAAGCATCAATTTTCTGGTCTTCCTTATTCACTGTCCAGCTTTTGCATGCATATAAGGTTATTGAAAATACCATGGCTTGGGTCAGGCGCACCCTAGTCCTCAAGCTGACATCTTTGCTCTTCAACACTTTAAAAAAGGTCTTGTGCAGCAGATTTGCCTAATGCAATGAGTTGATTTGATTTCTTGACTGCTGCTTCCGTGAGTGTTGATGGTTGATCCAAGAATAATGAAGTCATTGACAACTTCAGTCTTTTCTCTGTTGATAAGAAAGTTGTTTATTGGTCCAGTGGTGAGGATTTTTGTTTTCTTTACATTGAGATATAATCCATACCGAAGGCTGTGCTCTTTGATCTTTATCAGTAAATATTTTAAGTCTTCTTCACTTTCAGCAAGCAAGGTTGTGTCATCTGCAAGATAATATTAAATTTTGTAGGTATTACTAAAATTATGGAGTGCTGGTGTGGCACTGTAGGATAAGGCAAAGTCAGTGGTTCAAACCCACAAGCTGTTCCTTGGAAACTATCCAGGGTCACTTTGAATTGGAACCAACTCGACTGCACTTAACAACAGTAACTAATATTAAGTGGTAATGAAGTGGAATTATTTTTAAAATATTAAATTTGTAGGTCCTACTTCTGTCTTTAGTGTAATTGTGTTCATGTTAGTCTTAGACACGTTAGCTATTATCCTATTTTTCAATTAAGTTAAAGAACCAATGAAAATGAGGCACTGTCATTATATCTGGCCTGTAAATGAAAAATACCTGCGAGAATGTGAATGGACCCACAGAGTGGGGAGAAAGTTTTGGCAGTGACACCAAACAAAGGACTAATGTCAAAAAAATTTATAGACAACTTCAACATCTCAACAAGGAAAAGATTATCCAATTTAAAAATTGGCAGAGGAAATGAACAGACAATGCACTGAAGAAGACATTCAATCAGCCAAGAAACATGAAGAAATGCTTGCCATCAGCCATTGGTGATTGTGGTTGTGTGCTGTAGAGTTGGTTCCTACTCATAGTGGCCCTGTATGTGGTTTGTGAAACTGTTCCAGCTTTACAGGAGCAGAAAACCTTATCCTCCCGCAGAGCAGCTGGTAGATTTGAACTGCCAACTTTGCAGTAGCCCAACTTGTAACCCACTATGCTACCAAGTCATTGTGTTAAATGCCGTCGAGTTGGTTCTGACCCATAGTGACCTTGTATAGGGTTCCCAACAACCTGAGAAATGCCTTATAAGAGATGAAGCGGGGGTCATTTATGCTGGGTGAGATAAGTCAGACACGGAAGGACAGATGTTAAGACCACTGTTAGAAAAGGTAACGTTTTCACACTGAAAGACAATCTTCGATGGTTACCAGGGAAGGAGAGTGGGTTACTGGCTGGAGGGTGGACACTTGTTAACTTGGGTAAAAAGCAGAAAATAAAAACATAAATGAGCTCTAATTGGATGCAACTAAGCGGTTCAGTTGAGAAGAATTTAAGCCAAAATTTGAATTGGGTAAATGGGCCTAAACTTCAAAAACACAGTGAAAGCTGATGGAGGACAGGTTTCATGGTCACAGGGAGAGCGGGAAACAACATCCATGCACCCGGATCATTTATTGTTATGTAACGTCAAGTTGGTTCT